GAAGAGGGAAACCATCGTTTTGGAGAAAATTTTCCGGCTTGAAAAAGCCGACGGGTTATAAACCGATGATAATAATGATAATTTTTTTTTTTTTTCAACAGTACACGGGAGTTTACATAACGATTTTTTATATTGTTCAGTATTTTGAGGTAAGAGAGATGAACGACGGGAAAATTACGATTCTAAACATAAAAAATAAGTTTTTTTTATTTTCATTATAAATTTTAAATCGTGTCAAAGTTTAATTAGAGTCTCTAGGGAAAAAAAAAAAAAAAAAAAAAACAAACGAATCACGTCAAATTTAAAAAAAAAATTATATCGTCACGCGATCATTGTCACTTCGCAAAAAAAAAAAAGTTGAATTAACAAAATTATTCGTGACTCGACAAAAAAAATTATTCAACTATTTGTTACGCGCCTGATTTCGACGACAGAGAAAAAACGATGAAGTATTTTTCTATTAAATCAATTTATTAATTTATTTAATAAGATTCAATGAAAAGAAGGAAAAAAGAAAAAGAAAAAGGAAATAATCGTTACAAACATAAAATTTTTGGCACAAATGGAAAATTGTAGGCCGTCAAACAGTCGACACACACACACACACACACAAAACATTTTAATTATTTTAAAAACCTTTTAAAAAACTTGGGAAAACCCATCTTGGAAAAAAATAAAATAAAAACATTAAATCTTAATTTAATTTATTAAAATACTTTTTATAAGTTGAATTTTGACATATTTTTACATTCAATATTTAAATTTTTCTTTTAGGCAGCCGGATCGAAAATGAATCCATTTCACGCATCAATTTTAGTAGGTTTAACCAGGTTCGTAATGTCGATGGTTACGGTTTATTTACTTAAAAGATTTGGACGTCGACCCCTTTGCATCACGAGCTGTATAGGAATGGGAACTTTTGCAACTATATCCGGTTATTACACTCATCAAGTTATACTCTCAGGTGAAAGTTCAATAATGCCTGTTTTTACAATAATGTTATACGTTGCATTTTCAATGATCGGCCTTCTTAGTTTACCCTGGACAATGGCGGCGGAAGTTTTCCCAACGGAAATAAGAGGGTATTCGATGATGTTTTAAAAAATAATAATAATAATAATAATGATTTTCATTTAATGTTTGATTCGATAATTACAGGATAGCTCACGGTTTGGTTATCGGTACCGTACACGCGATTATGTTTTTATCATTACAAACATATTACGACATGGCTGATTTTTTCGGAGGACACGATGGTCTTCAATGGTTTTTCGCATTCATGTGCGTCATCGCACTCGTTTTTATTTATTTTTTCCTACCGGAAACTCACGGAAAATCCCTTTTAGAAATCGAAAATTATTTCATACGTCACACGATATATAGAAAAAGTAACGACGAGGATGACGACGGTTACAAATCGAATTCTCGGGGAAATCAAGAAAATAATAATAAAAATTTAAAAACAATGGAAACTTTGTTGGAAAATCAAGCAGAATACGATACGTTAATTGTTAAAACTGATAAATTATATCCGCGAATACCGACGGAAGAAGAATCCATGATCGGCGGTACGGATGTTAGAAATTTAGAATATATCGATA